TCGCAGGAGCTGGAACTTCAGGTCCAAATGCATGGGCTGCCTTTGACTTCCACCCAGGGCCTTCTGGCACAGTCCTTGGGAGGAGATCCAATTCCACCATTTGTGGAGTCCCTCGATCTGGCCTTTTCAGCTGAAGAGCTGGGTCTGGGTCTCGCACTGGGATCTGATGGGGGAGCCCTGCAAGATGTTCTCATGGACGATGGGACTGCGCTGTCCCCACTGGGTGCCTCTGATCCACTCCTTTCCTCTGTCTCTCCCGGTGCCTCAAAGGGCAGCAGCCGCCGTTCCAGCTTTAGCATGGAAGATGATTCATGATGGCAGCCCTTGGATGGAAGAGCTGGAAACGGCTTCACCATTTTACATGTCTTGTTCTGACCCATTGCAGACTGTTGCTTACACTCATCAGCTTCAAATCTTGGAGGCTGCTGTAGGCTATAACCCTCTGGAAATACCATCCCTTTCATAATATTCTGTATTTTTAAAGGTGTCCCTTTAACTAAAAGGAGGGGGCTCATGGTTAAACTTTCTTCCTATAGAAGGTGGTCTCAAACTGTGTAGTACCAAACTTTCTTCTTAATGCAGTAGAAGCAGAATTTTGTTATCTGCACCCATTAAGGCTCAGAAGCGCAATGTGATAAACTTGTGCATCTCCCGTACCTATTCTAAACTTCAATAGGGTGTTGCTTTAATGCTGTGCAAGGAGCATGTAATCGCAAACCTTGATTCCTTCACTTTAACCTTTTACTCTTATATCTTTCCTGTATATAATTTGGGAAGAATTGGGAAGGGAGGGAAGGAGGAAAGTGGACTTCTTTCGTAACATTTTTGGAAAGCAGAGAGCCACTAACATTTTTTTTAAATAAGAGAGAGCTTTATTTTATATAGATATTTGACTTCTTAATTTGTACATCTCAGCCTTTTCCTGTCATTGTTTCCAAGTTTTACTAAACTGCCACTTTCTACTTCGCATTTAATATTTGAGTTTCTTGGCACTCTACTTCATGATACGGCTAGCCCATGTGGAGGGGCAACAAGATGGTACTTCTTGGAACTTCACTGGGCAAAGGTGCAGGGCAAAGAAAAGTAAATAACTTTCTTGGAATTGCACATGTAATTATTGAAGAATCATGGCTACTCAGTAGGAGTTAATTGCCACCTCCCCTGTTTTTTGTAAGATAAATGAAATTGTAATCATGTTTTTTTAAAACTAATTTCTTGCTTACCAGATTGATGTTAGCAGAAACCCAACAAATAGAACTGTTTGCTGATTTGTTAGACTAAAAATACTGGAAGCAGATCTATGACCTGTTCTCTGGGTGTTTAAAAAAATGGGCAAAAATTGTTGCAAAGACAATCATTTGGGCTTCACTGGAAACTTCCGTCACTGCCATGTGTATGAATGTTCTTAAGAAGATATGATGACCCTGTTCCAGAAGGCTATCTGAACACACAAACTCTTAGACCTCCAATATTATTGAATGTCTAGATTTAAATAGTTGCTTGGCACTTCTGTTTTTCAGGAAGGATAACTGAATCTGGGAGGAACTTCCTAAGAGCTGTGGGGTCTGAAGATGCACGGGATATAGACTGAATTTTAGAGGAGGATGTGATAATGTAGGTAGCAATTTGGGAAGGAGAATTATGATTATCTGGGTAGCTTCTCAGCTGAGATCTTCTTGAGCAGGAGACAAGGAAATGGGATTAGGTGGTTAGTGTAAGTGAGATGTTGCACAGTGGTGTTTTAGCATGTTGGCAAGAAGAAAGATGGCAGAGGATAGGGCAGCTTGGAAATACAGTATTAGGTTGGACAAGTGGTTTCGGTTCTTAATAGGAATTGAGTTGGACTGTTCAGGGTATGAAAAAGGGGGAGAATTGCAAATCTGAGGAAACTATTTTTCCTCTTTTGTGGATTCTACATCCTTAATGACCCAGACACCACTTTCTATTGTTTTATTTTGTATGTTTAAACATTTCCAATTACCAATACTAGAGGCTTCTAAACAAATAAATGAACAATGACCATTTTCTACAGCCAATTATGCCACTTGTTTCATTACTGTGTCTTGCAAAATTTAAGGTGTCTCAGTTTATTTTTTAAAAAAGCCGTATCTGGTTGGCATGCAAAAAAAGTTAGATTTCTGATGCTGGAAAAAAGGATCTGAATTCAAGTGGGTGAAGACTCATATTTATGAATCTTATTTTACATAAAGGATGAGAAAACAGTTGTTCCACACTTTGATAATAATGTGATTTGATCTCTGGGTTTCCAATTGACCAACATTGTTTTAGCTTCTGTTCTGAAGTCAGCAACAGAACAACAAAAAATCTCAGACCCAATCTTTGTAACTGATGTATTTTGTTCATGCTTTTATTAAAGACTCAATAAAATCAGGGTCACTAAGTCACACTTAGGTCACACTTGGCATTCAGATGCACATTTCTGATTCTAGAGTACTGAGTGCATCAATTTCTGGTCATTTATGAAGTCTGCTCACAAATAAGGGATACACTTACTGAAGCTCATGAATATGTGCAAGAGAAATTATATAAATTAAGCTTTGTCGTCAGCCATTAAGGATTAAGCAAGTTGCATAAATGACATTGTTATGTTTGTTTTTATTTACCGAGGTATAGGGACCTGATTTTTAGACCTTAGCACAGGGGTGTCAAACTCGCAGCCCGCAGGCCAGATGCATCACATGCAGGTCACACCGACCCCAGCTCCACGAAGGGAAAAAAGTTGTGAAACATCACGTGACAACATGACGCCGCAAGTTTGACACTTGAATTATAGGTTACTTTTAAGGAATCAAATATTTTATTTACAAAAGAAACAGTTAAATTGTAGAAAAGGTAGATATGGCAAAATGAAACAATCTGTTTACAAGGAATAACTTTGTATTTAAATAAATTGTTACATATTTAATGGATACATGGTTTGCCATATACTCAATGAATGATAAAGCTAATAAAATTAACTTCTAGTAGTAACAGTTTTCAAAGGACAGGCAAGTCTACAGTTAAATTGAATATCTTTTCTATCACTTTAGAAATTAGGAATGCTCTCTGCCTTGAGAGCTTAGTATTTATGGGAAGTATGTTTCATGCATTTTGGGAAGGTGCTAATGGCTGGATAAGATAGCTTTCGAGGCTGGTAGTTTTATTTGCAATAAAATCAAAATTGTTATTATAAGAAAGCATTCCTCAATATTGTTTTAATTTCCCAATATTGGTTATTAATTCAGATAGGGGTGGCCCTCTCAGAGAGATTTGTTAGACTAAAGTCTAAGCAGATAAATTCTTTACAGAAAAAATTGCAGATTTTGAGTTCACAATGTATTGTTTATAATTTGGAAAGTTAGAAAAGTCCAAACTGATTACACGGATAAAATAGAAGATAGTGATGTAAAATTTAGTAGATTTAATTCGAATTCTATAATCATCCACTTAATGGGATTTAGTGAGTGGGCCTCAAACGGTCAATCACAAGAGAAATAAATGAGGGGGAACGAAGCTGCAGAATGGGACTTGTTACATGGATAAAGCTTCCAATTAATTTGTTCTCTGGGGAAAAAAAGTATTTCACATATTTTCTTTTATATTGTGTGAAACAAGTATATCTGGTTTAGTATGGGGTATGAATATTTATTATTATTTATTATTCAAATTTCTATACCGCCCTTCTCCTTTCGGACTCTGTTAAATAGCTTTAACAGATATAGTGATCTTGTATAAATCAAATATATTGTTGGAAGAAATATCCTTCTGGGTTCAGCTCCAAGTGGGGAAAAAGACACTGGAAATATGGAGACTGCTTGGAAAGATGGTTTAATGGTGGACAGGATCACATGGTTTGAGTTCCTGAACAGAAAAAAAAAGGGCAGATACAGCGAGTTTAGGGTTTTTTGCCTTCTCTGGCTTTGAACTTCCTGGGGCTCAGAAAGAGTATCCTGATTGGTTGTCAGACTCTCAGGGGGTGGGGGTCTTAGCTAGCCTTGCTAGTTGATGTAATCTTCCCAGGTGCTATGTGGTGAGTTTCTGTCCTAGATGGGTCCCATTGTGTTAGTTTCTGTTGCTATTGTATTGCAGATGGGTTATTGTCAAAGATTGAGTTTCTGCCTCTGGCCCATTAACAAAGGGGGGGGGAGGCAGGAAGGTGGGAGTTGCTTTGTCTTTAAAACATGTTTCTCCATTTCTCAACCAGGGAAACATAATATTCTGCCTTTTTAATATTTCCTAAAATATTTCATTCTTCTAGGAAAGGGGTGGGTGCTAACTTCCTACAATATTAAGACCTGGGAATCTTCTGAAGAGACTTTATTTCCCTATGAACATTTGCGTAACAGTAAGTATACTTGGTATATATGTTTAGGATTATACCCTCGCAGCACATTCCTCTACATAATTTGCAATGTTTTTGAATCGCAATTTAGTTGGTATAGGATTGCAGCTTTCTTTCCTGCAAGAAGTGCCACTGCGCGGCTTTTTATCCGTTAGCATCCCCGTTTCGGGGAGCAGTTGTTGAAACACCCGTTTTGCAGGCAAAAGATTTCGGCTCCATCCTCACGATCTCCAGGAAGATTGCGAGGAACTGCTGAAGACGATACGATTCATTGTAAGGCGCCCCCTGGCAATTAAAGCGCTTCCATCCACTCCCAGAGACCCTCCTAAATGTCCGGATCCTTTTAGGATCCCCACCGCCCCACCCTCGTGGAGGCAGAAGAGATCGCGCGATTCTTTCAGCTACTGACGATTTTGTATCTAATGCAGGAGAGAATAACTGTGACGTCACCCCAGGAAGGAGGACGCGCGTTTTTCAATTGTTCTCGATCACTTCCGAAGTCGCCTTCTTCGCCCACCTCCTCGGCCATTTCGCTTTCCTCTATCTACGACACAGCGGGCGGCTGCGCCCCTTATTTCTATGAGCTCAATCACTGTTACTTCCGGCATCTCTATGATCCCGACGGGAAAACGCTTGGATCCTTTCTAGGCTTCTGTTTCTATGGGAGCATCCGAACTGCAGTGCTTACACTTTCCCCTCTTACTCACACCCTCCCTCCCTCCTCAGGCGCCAAAGCTCCGCTTGTGAATCATCCTTCTTCATTAGTTCCCTCTCACGTCTCTATGCCTCTTCACTTCCGGCCTCCAAGCTCCAGTCCGCCGGTTCCGCTTGTTCCTGTCTCTCTCTCTCTCTCTCTCTCCGGTGCAGACAAAAAAAAAAAAAAGCAAAGAGAGAGAGAGAACGTCTCTCCAAACGTCCGTCCTCTCTCCTGTTCCCTCTATGATATCTTCTTAAAGCTATCTCGTCATCCTCCTCCACGAGTGGGCAGGGGCAGGCTGGAGATTCCTTCTTCCTCTCTCTCTCTCTCTCTCTTTTGGATCGTACCAAGCTGGAGCCGAGCCGGGGGGGCGGGGGAGGGAAGATGGCGCAGGCCTTGTCCGAAGAGGAGTTCGAGCGCATGCAGGTGGGTCTGGCTGGCTGGGGGGGGGGGGGGAAAGGGGAAGGGGGGGGGGGGGGGGGGGGGGGAGAAGCCGGCGGGGACCCCCTGAAGCATCCCCGGGGGAAGGGGACGGGAGTGGGGGAAGAGACGCGCCTTGGAGGAGTGGGCTCCGGTTCCGCGGGAGGCTTCCCCAGCGGAGACTGGGGCGAAGGGTCGGGGGTGCAAAGGCGAGAGGAGGGGGGCGCGATGTCCTAAGAGCTTTGCATCGGGGGGGGGGACGTCTTTTTTTTTTTTTCCCCTTTTCGGGCTGCTCCCCATGCGACCAGAGCAAAACCGAGGTTCCGGTAAGAAGCGGAGACGCAGCTGCTTTCCCGGGTTCCCTACGCACATTCTCCGCAGTCGGGCTTCGAACCTTATGGGGGGACACACATCAAGGCTCGGTTTAAAGCGCCCGAAGCCAGCCTTGCCCCAGCTGGTCTGCTTGGACTACACTTCCCAAGATCCCTCCGCAGGGCAGCTTTCTGGAAGTTGTAGTAGCGGAGCACATCTGGAGGACAGAGACGGTGTGGAAGGCTGCCGTGGGAATACATTCATTCATTAATAGGTGGGGTGGGTGGCTGGCTGGTCCCGAGGGCGTAGTTAAATCAGATTTATTGATTGATTGATTGATTGATTGGTTCGATTTATATGCCGCCCTTTTCCGGAAACTCAGGGCGGCTTACAATGCGTTAAGCAATAGCCTTCATACTTTTGTATATACCTGCTTAGTAGGGCTTTTGGCCCCCCCTAAGCGGTGTTCTTTTTTATACAAAGTCAGTTTATTGCCCCCACAATCCGGGTCCTCATTTTACCTACCTTCGAAAGGATGGAAGGCTGAGTCAACCTTGAGCCTGGTGAGATTTGAACTCGCAGTAATTGCAGGCAGCTGGCAACTTAAGTGCTACTTTAACAGCACTTAGTCCAGTGCGCCACCAGCCTTGGTTGGTATTGCATTGCCTCACTTTTGCTCTCCGCCCCCCCCCCTTTCCCGCCCCCACAGATGCGGAACTGGCTAGTCATCACTCTACTGGGGTGACATAAGGGGCTGTTGTCTTTTTGGAGGACTGTATAAGAGAAGGAATCTTTATAGAGACCCCCTCATTCCCGACATTACAAACTGTGCTTATCAGCATCCAGCCTTTTGGAAAAGTGTTTAAAGAAGCTCTGCTTTTCAGATTGTATACAAACCTGGTATAATGTCTGGGTATTTCAGATTAGGAATCCCAGTTACAGAACCCATAGTGATAGCAGTTGAACATATTGGGTGTGCACCAGGTTGAGAAAGTGCATCTTTGTGTATACAGAGTAAATGCATATAGACACACCCACCCACTGCCCCGGAGTTGCATTACTGTGCATTGCTTGTTTTCAAGATTGACCCATTTCAGCTCATTTCTGCAAGTGAAGCGGTCTCCTTTCTTTTTCTCTTGACATTGCACCTTTTCCAGTTGTAACATGATAAAAGGTGAATAGTGTTCCCAGTTCAAGGTGTTATATTGAATACAGCAAGAGCATATGTCCCATCCCCCCCTTTTATTTCTCCTCTTGTGATCACAGATAAAACTCTCCAGAGTATAAATGTGTACTGATCCTTATTTAATCTTTTGTGCCTGGTGGAAAATTCTACAAGTGAAAGAGTTGATCAGTTTTGTGACCAGTCTTGGTGAGATGGGCAGTACAAAAGTTTAATAATATTTTTTTAACATTCAGCATATGTGGACACTGTACATTTTTTGCAGTGCCATGTGGAACTCGGCCAATTATTGGTTTCCTTATTATTGGCTCAAACAAATATTTTACCTCAGATAAGTTTTTGATACCTGCAGAGTTCTTTGCAACTCTTTGTTAATAGGATTTTCTGAAAGTCCAGTTGCCTCTTGAAAAAGCAACCATGACCTAGATGACTGAGAATCTCTATAGACTCTCAGTTAATACTTAATTTTTGTTTGGTGCTGAAGTACAAATATCTTCCTGGAGGGAAAAAGCAAGTTAATATGGATTTTTTTCCCCACATGTTCAGCACAACTTGAGAATTTCTGGTGTTCTGAGGAGGGTGCAGAATTAGAGCAGAGATATTAGCTATCTTAGTTACTGCAACAACTAACCTTTGTGATTGCCAGCCCAGAATTAGAAGTATGATGTATTGATGGTAGACGATGCTGTGGTGGGTTTGGCAGAAGACTCCTTTGGAGTATAATTTTCAAGGCCTTAGAAGGATAGAAGAATAAGTGGGGAAAATAAATCCCCCTACAGAATTTATAAGAGTAAGTTATATAGATCACAGTAGAGGGCAATAGAAGCCTTTCCATTTGCTTTGCATCCTCTTTCTCCAACTCTTAAAAGCCAGTCTGATTCGCTGGATGAATTTTGGCTAACTGGGCTCAAAGCCCCCTAAGTAATGGCTATTACTATTCTGAACTAATATTTATCTCATTTTGTCAGTCAAGAATAATACAGAGTTATTTTAAAAGTAATTAAGAATTAGCAGCAATGTTGCTCACAATTTGCAAAAGATACACACACGCTGCATCTCAAACAATATATGTTCAGAGCCCAAGCTGTGAAACGAACTGTTGGGTTTTCTGATCTCAAGCATAAATCTCCTAATGCTTCATGGCTTTAGTTCAATTCCTTGGCTTGACTTGGCAGTGATTCCCAGACTTGGTTCAGCTAGATTAGAATCTTTTTTGTCATCGGGATAATGCCTTGCAGAACTGTCCCCTGTCACTCTCAGTGAAAAGATGTACATTCGTAGATGTAGCAGTAGTAGAACTGAATTAGTGGATATGTGGCATAGCACACAATGGCCATGAAACTGAGCAGCCATCTCTGTCAAAGAAGCTGCTGGCTCCTGCCTTAATCTTCATAAATATCAAGCTGGCCTTAACCCTGCCTAGTCATCTTTTTGACGTTTCCTGATGAAGTTGGTTTTTATTAAAATCGTTTTCCCCCCCTCTTGGTAGGCCCAGTTATTAGAACTTCGAACACAGAATTACCAGCTCTCTGATGAACTCCGCAAGAACACAGCTGGTAAGACTTTCTCCTCAGTTTTACTTCCCGAGTAACACTATGATCTGAGCCATTATATTTTGTACCCAATGTGAAAGCATCAAAATGTCTGCACATATTCATATATGCTTACATTTGCATATGGTTGTGCTGGTTCAGTCATGCTGGTTTAGCATGACTCTTGCAAAATCTGAAATTCAGAGAAAAGGCGTAGTAGAAAGAAAGCAGTGGAATGAATAGCTATAAAAAGTTACAAGAAATAGCTAGAATGTAATACTGGCCATAGAATTCTGTTCCTATTTAAAAGAAATGGCTTCCTCAGCGATTTGATTTTGAAGTTATGAAGATGCACAGACAACGTATGATGAAATCTTAGGAGCAGACAGATTGCCAAAGAAGCTTCCCTGTGATTTGAGACTAAGGCTTCAATGCCTATTTAGCACCACATCCCTCCATGCGAAGAGCAAAAGCAGAATAAAGTTCTCAGGGATTTGGCAAACTTATATTTATTCTGTGCTCAGAAAACAACTGTAAAAACATTCACCTCTTTCCCCCCTTCCTTGTATCTTCTCTGGCTCTTGGAGAGGAAATAAGATTTCATTTAGTTTTTTGTTGTTCTTGTTATTCCTTTATTGCTTCTCCCATCTTTAATATGACTATATTCTCTGCATCATTTTGAAGTTTTTAAAAATCTTTGTCAATTTATAATTAAAATGATCTCCTGTGTATCTTGCTGCAATCTTCTCTAAGTCTGATGTGTCTTTTATTTTGGTGCTCACAAGGCCGAGCAAGCATGCATTGCTGCATAAATTCTTTTACATTTGGCAGATTGATAGAACTGAGGGCTACTAACAGACTTTTTAGAATAGAATAGAATAGAATAGAATAGAATAGAATAGAATAGAATAGAATTCTTTATTGGCCAAGTGTGATTAGACACACAAAGAGTTTCTCTTTTAAGTACACATTAAAAAAAAATCAGAATTTTTTAAAAAAAATTTAGCATCAGATACCATATTTCATACCTTATTCTACATGTTCAGAATGGCAAAAGGCAGATGTTCTGTTTCTACAATATTTTCCTAATTGTGATTTGTTTTTCTCTTGATTTTTTTAGAATTAAATGGGCTCCGACAACGGGTCTCCTATTTAGACAGGGACTTTGCTAAGGCTCAGAAGGTAAAGTGAGATTCTTAAATGGAATAATGGGTATATAAATGTATGTTGGTGTACGTTAGTAGAAAATGTAATTTTCCTTTGAGGGTAATATCACCAAGGTATCACAGAACATTAGTGGATATTTCTTGATTTTTATACTGCACTCTGGATAAAACTGGCTAAAAAACTCATATAAACGAGTATTAAAAATTGTGATATCAACTCTTCGTTACTATTCTTTTACATTCAAATAATTTGAGTTTTTAAAAAATGTTGTGCAATAATACTTGTGGACAATCTTCTCTCATATTACATTCCCATTCCTAAATGGTGAAAGGACACAACTGGGTTTTTAAAAGAGTTAAACAAATTCAAAATCTATAATTACAGGAGTTTGTAGTCATTCTTCAGAGGATTTGTATAATTTTGTATAATTGACACTGTGCCTAAACCTTATTGGTGCTTTATTAACAACTTTCTCTCTTTCACAGGCTCTGAATAAGAGTAAAAAAGCTCAGGTAAGGTGTCAGTATATAGTATAAATTGCCATGTTAAGTTCAGTCCTGCCTGGACCGAGACTTATCTGCCAATCACTTGTTTCTAATATTTTTGTTTTGTCTCTCACCTCTCCGCAAGCCTTCCTTTCCTTCTCCCAGATGATTTCAACTTTATGATCAGAGAGAGTATAAGCAATTTCAATCAAATGGGGCAATCATAATTCTCAGTTTTTGCTAATCTATGATTTAGAGTTATTGGATACAAGATGGGTGGCAAATAAATTTCCTAAATAAACAAATAAATTTTAATGCAGATATCCAGAAGCCCCCAAATTAAAAAACAAAAAGACATTTCATAAGCATATGCCTCTTAGTTGGTCAGAGAAAAGCAAGAGAAGCAGCTTACAGTGGTCTAAATCGGGTCTCCTACCTTGGGAATTTTAAGATTTGTGGACTTCAGGTCCCAGAGTTCCTCAGCCAGCTTTGTTGGCTGAGGAATTCTGGGACTTCAAGTCCACAAGTCTTAAAGTTCCCAAGTTGGAGACCCCTGATCTAGATGGAATAGAAAATATGATTTCCAAATCTCTTTTACCTGTGCTTCCTCTTGGATACATTTTGCAACCAATTTCTCTGTTAACCACTGCATAACTGCTGGCATTCCATCACAAACTAAGGGCCACGGCATAATATGGACCATCTAGAATTTGAGTAGCAAAAAGGTAGTAGGTGAGAACATTTCCCAATATTGTTAGGAGATTGGCAAAGGAGGCCCAATCTGCTTGAAGATTTGGTCCTGCCATCTAGTGGAAGGAAGTGAACCTTGCAGTGATTATGTGTGTGGGATCTCATGCAATTTTGTTGTCTTTGTAGGAGGTGGATGCACTGCTTAGTGAAAATGAAATGCTTCAGGGAAAACTGCATAGCCAAGAGGATGACTTCAGGCTGCAAAATAGCACTCTCATGCAGGAGCTCTCCAAGGTACTGGACTCATGTTCCCTTTGCAGTGCCACCAGGGTCATGCCAGGGGGTGCTGTGTGACACGAAATAGCACTGCTGATTAACCACCCAGAATTCTAAGATAGAATTCCAGAATCATAGAGTTGGAAGGAATCATTTAGGCAGATACATTCAACCATCTGGCTAGTGAAGAAATCCAAAGCCTTAACAAATGGCTATCTACCATCAGTTCGAAACAATCTTCAAACCAGATCTTCAAACCATGGTTATGAAAGTGCAGGATCTACATTCAAAATCAAAGCAGAATAAATTAGGATTGTGCAGTGCTTCAGACTCAGTCTCCTAACAGTTTTTGGGAGGGCACAGGTGTGCAAATGTAGCCTGTCTTGAGTCCCTTAAAGCAGCTGCTCTCTTCCCCAGGATTGGTTCTGAGAAAAGACCTTGTAAAGGTGTTGCAGATGGGCACTAAATTCACTTTCCTACGTCCTTCAAAACACATCTTGCACATTGAATCTATAATGTTGAACAACATATTTAACTACATATATAATTTAATACTTTTAATCCGGCATCTTCAGCTCAGGTCTCAGAGGTTCTTTGCCTCCATGGTTAATCTTATCTTTTCTAATCTTTGCTTTTGTTTGATACTACAGCTGGCCCAAAGCAGATACTAAATATAAAGTCTGGGTGGGAGGAATACAGCCTTCAGCTCCCCCAACAAACTTCTTCATGCATGTGAAGAATTATTTTTCATTATCTTTCACCCTAGTTTGCCTATCAGGTTGACAAGTCCAGTTGCTGCAAATGGTTTGTTTTTTTCCTTTTTCCTTCCACTCTCATGGTGTGGTATTTGAGTCATTTGTGTGGTATTAAAAAAAAACATTCTGAGTGGGAAGCTTTTCTTAGCAACCGCTGTTTGCATGCTTATTGAGTTTGGAAAAGTGCAGGCTAATCAGCAGGGGGAAAAATCTTCCCATGCCTTTGTTGTGATTATTAGATTACTTCTAGTTCATTAAATCAAAACCATTGAAGAAGGGAAAGTTCACTATATCCTTTATAGTCAACTCTAAAGAGAAGCGGTCCCCAACCTTCCCACTTTGGTGGCCCGGCACAACGTGTGTGTGTGTGGGTGGGTGGGCGGGCAGGTGGGTGGCAGGTGCATGCGTGTGCGCACAGCTCCACCATTCACATTAATGGCGCTTCATGCGTGAGTGGGGAGCACTCGCATGCAAAATTGCACTCACGCAAGCAGGGGGCGCTTGTGCTTTGTGCAAAATTCCACTCGTGCAAGAGGAGAGTGCTTGTGCTCAAAGCTCCATTCGCGTGAATGGAGCTTTGTGTGCAAGCGTCCTTTGCATGCAGAATTGGAGCTTCACGTCCAAGCACAAGCACCCTCCACTCAAGCACCCATCGCTCACATGACCCAGTTTCAAACAGGCTGCGTCCCATTAATGGGCCGCAGCCTGGGGGTTGGGGGCCCCCACTTTAAATCACACTCTTGGGACTTATTTTGGGGAGCTGGAGTAACAAATGCTTTTTCTTGCCATGAAGATCAGGGACCAGCTGCAGACCAATTTACCTCTGGTGGATCATCTGTCCTTTTTGTTCAGTGTTCTGAGAAATGTATTTCCTCGCTGACATCCAGTCCTTTGATCTTTCAAATGCAGCTGTGCTCGCAGATTGAGCAGTTGGAGAAGGATAATCAGATTCTTCAGGAAGGAAAGACAGCGGTAGCCAGCGAAGGGGCGTTCCCAGCCAGCTCTGTGGATGGCGAGCTGTTAAGGCTACAGGCAGAGAATTCTGCCCTGCAGAAGAACATGGCAGGTAGCATTCTTGCTGACATACAAATGTGGGGGGCTCAAATTGAAGTTTGGAAAGTCCAAGGAATTGGACAGGGGGAAGGTTGGCAAGGTGGAGCACTCTGGGCATCGAAGTCCACACAGCATAATGGGGAAGGTTGCCTGCAAGCTGATCCTTCAGCCTGGCAGTTGTTCTGAAGGGGTGCCTGCTTTATGGCCCTACCTCTGTGTGCCATGAATAGGCCAGAATATGCAAATGTTTGAACTGAGTAGGGGACAAAGCTAAGAAGGAGGCAATAGAGGTGTAAGTTCAAGGAAGGTAATTGCTGAAAAAGCAAGAAACAGCAGGAAATCCAATAGGCTAGAGTCTTTGTCTTTGTCCTTGTAAGAGTTTTAATTGGGGCTGATTGCCAATTTGCTAACAATTGGCAATCAACCAATAGTTTATTTTTTATGAGAAGAGCTGGAATCTGGGAAGCATCTTCTAACAAGTACTTTCTGATACAACATAAAAAGGAAGTAACAAAACAATGAAGACTGCAGTGATTTTCCCCAATAATCACTCACCAATGATGTGGAGGATTCAATGAGCCTTCATCAGCCATGTGAGGACTAGGAAAATATTGTTTGCAAAATAAAATATGACTTAAAACCAGAGTACATAACATTTTTGTGACTGTGGCCCACACTTTTATTTCCTATTATTTTCAAGGGCTCATAGTAGATGAAAGGTTGCAATATTATAGGAGAGAAAGTTATATATCTCTTCTAGATTTAAAAAATAAACACCAAAATGGCTGCAATAAGTATATTGGGAACTCTGCTATTACGCCATTTTATTTCTAACTTCGATGAAAGCTATTGAGTATCATATGACTATTACTGGGTGCTTTATCACAGGATTTCATCAGCAGATTTGAAAGAGGGTGGGCTGTTCTGGGCTGGGAAAAGAGTTTGGGAGGCAAAGTTGATCCCTGGGCCTTAAAGTGCCTGTTCTTGATTTAAAATCAGTATTTTTCAAACTTGGCAACTTTAAGATGTGTGGACATCAGTCCTAGAATTTTCCAGCCATCTAGAATTGTGTGTCCATACATCTTCAAACAACTGCTGATGACTTCTTACTATCGGTCCACCATAGAAAGCGTCCTCACATACTGTATAACAGTATGGTACACTTTAAAAGCCGTGGATAGGAAGGCACTACTGAGAGTGATCAATTAGGCACAAGAAACCATTGATTGCTCTCTAACACCACTGGATGACATCGCCAGGTCTCGCTGTTTCGGCAGAGTAAGGAAGATACTTAGGGATGATTCACACCCTGGCCAGTGTCTCTTTTCACTTTTACCATTGGGCAGAAGACACCGAAGTATAGCCAGCTGGACAAACAGGTTTAAAAACAGCTTCTACCCATGGGCTGTCAGACTCCTAAACACAATCACAATCACTCCACGTACATATGGAAACGTATGACTAGCTTTTTTTCTTTCCCCAATTACTTGTATAAGTTGGGAATTATATTATCTTGTATGGATTGCATCAGTAGAGGCTAAACCAATTTCGCTGTATACATGATGTACGATAACAATAAAGGCTATTACTACTACTACTACTACTACTATTATTACCTTAAAAGTTGCCAAGTTTGAAAAAACACAGATTTAAAAGGGATACAGAAGAAGGAATCTGTGGTCTGCTCAGAATGGGTGATCCTTGTTCTGCAGCTTTACAGGAGCGCTATGAGAAGGAAGTGGCCCGGCAAGCAGAAAACAGAGGTGGCGGGAAAGGTGATGGTTCCCCGGAGCCTTGTCCCACTGTGCCAGAGACGACTTCGGAACGGCCGGCATTTGACAGTGACGGTAGCGGTGCCATTTCACAGCAGCTTCTCTCGGAGGTTGAACTGAAACTGCAGACCGAGAGGGAGGAGAAAATACTACTGAAGGAGCAGCTGCAGAGCCTCGAGGTAAGAAGGACTCCTTGATATTTGCTCTCCTTTGCCTGTGTTGATTTCTGCCTCAGCTGGAGGTTGCAGCTCCAGGTGAGGGAAGTAGTTCGTAGGGAGTGGGGAGTCATTCCTCACCGTGCATAAAATGCAGCTATTTCAAAGAAAGGGCTCAAGGAGGTGGAAGAAAAGCAGAACGTTTTGACCTCAGTATTGACCTTCAGGATATGAGAAGAAATCCCATGCACAGATTGAGGAGGCTGTGGTCCATGGGATGTAGTCAAACATTGTCCACTCTCAGCATTTCTTACCACAGGCTATGCTGGTTGGGATTCCCGCAACTGGCAATTCAATAGCATCTGTGAGTGGTGCAGTGGTTAAAGTGCAGTATTGCAAGCTAACTCTGCCCACTGCCAAGAGTTTGATCCTGACTGGCTCAAGATTGACTTAGCCTTCCATCCTTCTGAGATCGGCAAAATGAGGACCCAGATTGTTGGGGCCAATATGCTGACTCTGTAAACCACTTAGGGCTGAAAAGCACTGTGAAGCAGTATATAAATCTAAGTGTTATTGCTATTTTAGTGAACCATAGAATCCTTGCTCCAGATTGAATTTCTCCATCTCTATCCCTGTCCTATAGTCCAAATACCAGAGAAACACTTGTTGCCCAGTTGCCATGGCTCATACTAACTGAATTTGCATATGAAGCTTGCACTTTAGTCACTTCTCACTTGGATTACTCTAATGTGCTACCTGGGGCTGCCCTTGAAGGTCATCCCGAAGTTGTAACTGGTTCATCATGCAGCAGCGCACAGTTCTGAGAACTTGCAATTCACCCGTATTAACACAGCTGCTATATGAGTTTCATTGGCTTCCAGATGCAGGTCAGGGTGCTGGTTATCATGTTTAAAGACCTGATGGCACAGGGCCAGGTTATTTGTAGGACAAATAAGGTGGGCATTTCCAGATCCCTTCCTTTAAATGGAGGGATCTTGGAGGTACTTCTATTTTGTGGCTGTCATGGCCCTTTGGAACAGCCTCTTCCCTGAGATATGGAGGGCCCCTAATTATTAGCCTTCTGGAGGACTGGGAAGACCTGGCTCTTCACTCAGGCATTGGGCTAGGGTGGTGTTGTGGCTCCGTTACCTGAGCCTGTGTCATTGGCAGGAGAGGACTCCGAGAGTGAAGAAGAGGAGTTGGCAAGGCCTCCCTCTCCAGGACCCTCCTCTCTGGCAATGCCTTCGGTGTCTGCCGAAGGGCAAGAGATAGGGCCGGGGCCAAGCACGTCCACGCAGCCACAGATGGACAGTGATGAGGGTAATGAGTCTTGGCTGGGTCCACGCCAGCGTCGCAGAGATAAGCGCGTGCAACAGAAGAAAAGGCGTGCCCGAGATTAGGCTGAGTCACTGGACCACACCCCACAGGATATAAAAGGGAGTGGTGGCCAGTCAAACCTTGTGACGAACAAAGCTGAAAGCTTCCACGCCATTCTGCATTGCCGGACTTTTGCTATAAGACTGCAGGATTATCTCTGGACTTGATCAACTCCGTAATTATTGAGCTGTTTCTTTTGATGTATCAGAAGTGGGGAGAAGTTATCTCTCCTCTTCGTAAATAATAAACTCTTGGCAGGCAGCCACTAGGTTATTGCCAAGTTCCGTTATCATAAGGAAAAGGATTTTGCCAACTGGTTTGGTCTTTAACTCTTGAACGTCTGTTGGTGTGTGTGCGTGTGGTTGGGGACAGAACAGGTGGTAGTGAGACCAGTAGATCTGGATATTGTGGTATATTGTGGTACTCTGGAAGGATATATGATTAGTTCCTTTTGGGGAAGCAGATCTGTGGATTTATATTAATCTGTTTTTATGGAATGCTGCCTTGAGCTGTCCACCATTATGACATGAGTAAGATAAGCTGTCATATGCATTTTCTAACAATATAGTTAAATTACATTGAATTAGAAGGGTGCTGATCTAATATAACTGTTGCTAGCAAAATCACCAGTGTTATCACCATGGCAGTGAATGTTTCAGTAAAGAATAATATACAGACTTGAAAGCAGGAGAGGATTCTGGAAACTTTGGATCATCGTGATTTGTCCTTTGACCCCAAGTGCGGGCCTTTATTTTTATTTTTCTTCCCAGAGGAGTGAAGGGTGAACTTTTAGTTGCCTGGGATAAAATATATGATCCCCAGCATGCTGGTTTCTGAACTAGAGAAACCTAGACATTGCCTCTTCCTTGTCTCACCACTGCCCTCAAATGGGTGTTGCCTTATGGAACCACCTGGTGGGAATTGTTCAAAACAATTGCCAGATCAGTGGAAGACTGAATGTGTTGTGGTCCGCCAGCAGCCTGCGGAGCTGTCAGCAAAGTCAGACAGTGAGGAGGCTGGGGAGGAACATGGGCCAGTCCTGGAGTCTGGGGAAGGCTTGGACGAGGGCTCTGCATCGGAGGCAGAGAAAGGGCCATCTGGAAGGTATGTGCTGCCTCCAGAGTCAGCAAGGCAGAGGAACAGGGGGAGCCTGTTCCCAGTGCATGCATGCGCAGAGCTACCAGAAGGCAAGAACAGTTAAAACAAAAGGGACGATTTGGGAGTAGGGCTTGGAGATGATTGGCCCCTCCCATAAGACTTAAAAGAGGAGCAAAGGCACGTGGGTCTTTGCAGGAAGCAACATTGTTAATTCTGTGCAGTTTAAAGTCTGAAGCTCGGTTTGATTGTGGACTCCATGTGGCTTTGCCAATTAGGTCTTTTATTTTATTTTATTTATTTGATTTCTATACCGCCCTACTCCCGAAGGACTCAGGGCGGTGCACAGCCAAACAATAAAACACATACGTACAAAATTTAAAAGTAGAATAAAATCAAATTAAATAATTTTGGCCCCAACAAATTTAAAACCCCAAACTTTTAAAACCAATTTAAAATTGAATGTATAAAATACTAAAAGATATTTAAAAATTAAAAATCTTTTATAAAAGAGGGAGAAAATTAGGCCAGGCCCGCCTGGTGAAATAGTAAGGTCTTTAAAGCGCGGCGGAAGGTGCGCAGATCCGGGATCCTCTGTATCTCTGGGGGGAGCTTGTTCCAGATAGTAGGTGCCCCCACAGAGAAGGTCTTTGGCAGTGTGTCAAGGGAGATAAAGGTGGGTGATTAGCCTTATCCCGAAGGACTCTTTACAACTATTTGGGACTCATCTGTGAATGAACAGAATTCACAGCTGTTAAAATAAATCAGGTTTTTGGGACTACTCATGTGTTTTACTGACTCAGGAAGCCTAGGTCATAAGAGAATGCTTGAAACAGGTCATTGTGTTTGCCTCTCCTTCCCGTCCTATAGGCATCCAAGACAACGGAGACCTCCCGCCTGCAGCAAGAGCTCTCCAAGGTAAGAGGGGAGAGAGATTTGTATGGCTGGTCAACATTCTTGGGAGACAATGGGTGGTGGGAGGGTGAGGTTTGCTGGTGGGAACTTACAGCTTTTTCTCTCTTATGCAGTTTGTAGAGAAGCTTAAGAAGAAACAAGAGAGGTATGTTTTGGGGTGGGAAGGGAGCTTGGTCATATTGGGATAAGGAATGGGATTTACTCCTTATTAGATAGATAGATAGATAGATAGATAGATAGATAGATAGATAGATAGATAGATAGATAGATACCATATTTTTCAGAGTATAAGATGCACTTGTTCCTCCCTAAAAGTGGGTGAAAATTTGGGTGTGTTTTATACACCGAATGTAGTCCCGCCCACCCATTGGCCCGCACCCTTTGGCCTCTGCCTCCCAGCAATTTACCTCCTTGAAGCAAACAGCAAACAGCCCGTTTCAGCTTCAGCACAGCCTGATTAGCACAAGCAGCTGATTGTCGGTTGGATGGGCCTCCCGACCCTCAGCTGTTTCAGGCTGCAGGGATTGCCATTGCCTATTGCCTTGTGGGCCTCCTCTGTTTGCTGGGAGGCAGATTTTTTTTTTTTCTTGTGCTAATCAGGCTGTGCTGAAAATGAAAATGTAACTAAAGCAGGCTGTTTTCTGTTTGCTGCAAGGAGGCAAACTGCTGGGAGGCAAAGACAGATTTTTTTTCTTGTTTTCCTCTCCAAAAAAGGTAGGTGCGTCTTATAGTCCAGAGCGTCTTGTATCCAAAAAAAATACGGTAGATAAAATAACTTTATTGTCACTTCGAATGTACACTAATCGGCATACATTAAAATGAAATTTCGTTGCATACAAGTCTCAAATATGCACTACCTAAACATGACAAAATAAAAAAATTCAAAATTATGCATACACCCATATGTATTATATGACACAGAGAAACAGTACAGTCTAGTTCATATGTATACATGTACATGGCGAGAAAAATGAATCTTGCGAGTTTACTGGACGGATGGCATAGGGAACAAAGCTGTCAGAATCTCATAGTCCTGCTAGAAAATACTTTGAAACCTCCTCCAAGAGGGGAGAAACACAATTGTTAGAACAGAATTGCAGAACAGAATTAGCTAGCCAGGCTTTTACCTGCTTGATTGCTATTCCTGTTACAAGTGAAAGTTTGCCATCATCTCAAGACGTTTGAATGAATGCTCCTTCCTCCACTGCCGAGAGAATGATAATATGTTCTGCAGGGTGGCTTCCCTTTGGGAACCAACTTTGGCCTCTCTTCTATTCTGTGTTTTAACTTCTCCCTATCTTGGCCTCCCTTCCTCTCCCTTTTAGCTTTGTGCGCCTTCAGACAGAAAAAGAAGCTCTCTACAATGACAGCAGGTATGGGCTGAACAATCTGGAATTTCACCCTCTGTGCCAGTGCAACAATGCACTTTCCACATGTTTGAGAAGCACTGGATGGTTGGAGTAGAGCAGGGGTGTGAAACTCAAGGCCCGTGGGCCGGATCTGGACTGTGGGGTACTTAGATCTGGCTCGCGGAAACAGCAAAGGACTGGCCTGCAGTGCCTCTGCCAGCAAAAAAACGGAGTTTGCGAGGGCCACGCGCACCCCCACTCCACAAATTCCATTTTCACTGGCAGAGGGTTGCAGGAGGTCGTCCCAGCCGAAAACAGAGCTCGAGAGCCCGTTTTCGCTGGCAGAGTGCTCAGGCCACCACAGGCATCCCCCGATACAAGTGACGTCAAGATGGCCATGCCCCCCCTCCGAAGTCAAACAACCCTGATGCAGTCCTCATTGAAATTGAGTTTGACATCCCTGGAGTAGAGCTTTCCAAAGGACATTTGAAGCCAGGGTTTTGGAAGGGAGGAAGGAGGAGAAACAACAGGAGGAAGCTGGAGAGCTGAAATCCACCGCCAGTATTACAATCCAGATCATCAGGAAATCACTGCAGTGTGAAAGCATTACATAAAGTCTGGCAAGGTGATCCCCATGGGGAATCTGCTGAGCAAGCCAGTTGATGGCGTGGAATGAATTGCACTCATGCCTGACAGGTCTGAAGTGGGCCCAGTTAAGTAAGCAGAAAGCCTTGGAATGCTTCCCCCTTCTTCCCAGCCTCTTGAATGATCATTGGCCCCATTTTCATGGCACTTATTTAAGCCAAGCAATATGGCTTTCAGATACTATAACAATATAGCAAATTACATTCATAATAAAATAGCAGATTGCATTCTAGCCGACCAAAGCTATATAAAACCGTGTGGGTAGGTGAGGCAGGGCCTCTAAGCTCAAGAATGCCGGTGTATCTCTTCCCACCGTTTAGTAAAAACAAATGATCTGTGTAAAGCAGACTCTGATGCAGAATAGATTAGACACATGTGCATAATTTAGATCCAGTGTTGTGCCTCTTGGCTAACCTTGACTGGTCTTGAGTGCTATGCAAACCTAGCCTTAATTACAGTTTGGATGGGGGACCATCTGGGAGGCTCAGAGCTGTTGGCCAGACTTCAGCACTGAATTAATAGAGTACTCTAGAAGAAGGCAGTGGCAAACCACTTTCGTTATGCTGCTTAGAAAGCATGGATATATCCATGAAAGTCCCCAGAGTTGAGCATAGCTGAAAAATGGAGGTTCTTGCTTCTTTTCTTGGTTGGAATTTGCATCAGCCCAGGTGCAGATTTTAAGCGAAAGTTAAACGATACGGGGCTGGAGCATTGGGCAGTAACAGTGTTACAGTGCTTTTGCTGCAGATGTGGGTGCTAAGGAGAAGGTGGAGAAAGAAGCACATTCCTGAGATGAGAAATAATAAAGCTGGAAATGGGGATGAGTGGATGAGATGGGAATGAAAAAGGCATTTCCTGCAAGAGTAGAGAGGTGAAGAGAGGAGAATGAAACAACGGGAAGAATGACCCAAAGGCAACAAAGCAGCTTTAAGGAGAAGAAAGCACTTTCTTTTCCCTCTGTAAACAAATTTTCCCTTCCACTGTTCAGGACCAAAATTGAGGAGATCCAACAACGGAAGGAAGAGGAACTCAAATCTCTGCAAGTTCGTAACCAGAAGCTGCAACAGGAGCTCCAGTCCACAAACCAGGTAAAAGACATTTTTCCTTCTCCTGTAGTTCAGATTGAGTTACATTTAAGGCATGGCTAAGGAGACCTGATTCGTCGGATGTAGAAAGCATGTCCAGGAGCTTTGCCCCATCAGCAAGAAAACCTCTTGATCGAAAGGGTTTAGTTTTATCAATTGAGAGGTCTTGATGCAAAGCCTAGCTGTGTATATGCTCAGTTCTTTTTACCTTTGGTTCTCTAATCCAGGGGTCCTCAACCCCCGGTCCTTGGACCAGCACCAGTCCTCAGCATGCTGGAAACCAGGCCACGGAAACAAGTGAAGTGCCATCCACTGGATACAGGCAGCACACAAAACCACACCCCTCTCTCTCCATGGAACCAGTCCCTGGTGCCCAAAAGGTTGTGGGCTGCTGCTCTAATCTGTACAGTTAGAGTAATTCTGGCCTTTCAGTATCTAAAGCAGGGTTTCTGAACCTCAGCAATGTTAAGATGTGTGGCCTTCAACTCCCAGTATTCCCCAGCCAGCGAGACCACACCTCTTAAGGTTGCTGAGGTTGAGAAACACTGGTATAAAGCATGACTGTCTTGTTGGGGGCCACAATTTTCCCCAGTGAAGCTTGAGAAATACGATGGAGCCAGGGTTGTTTGCTTGTTTATAAATCATACGTATAAGTTGTCCCACTCACCAGATAAATTTCTATTATCTCATGGAACGATCATTCCTGAAATTTCTTGGAGGAAATGCCACAGACTTGTTAAAGTGGATAAAGCATAAATATGGCTAAAAATAATGGGCCATTTGTTTCCTGCTCTAGAAAATAGGATTCTCCCCTCTATTTTCCCTAAGAAAGGAAGGAATCTATGCTTTTATCTTTTTAATGGTTCTGAGGTTTATTGATTCCACCTGATAATTTTATGGGCATGGTTGTCTCCATCCAGGGTGTGATCCTAGTGGAACTTAATGCAACAGTGAAATCTTCCCTTTATGTTATTTCTCTGGTAAAATGTGTTCCTTCTTTCTCAGGGCTTCTTGGAATTAAAGGACCAATTGCAGAGTGGTCAAAAAGAACATGAATTGGCTCTTCAGACTCTGCAGGACCAAGTGAGTGACCCTTCTACTTATCTGCCCCCCCTCCCTTTGTTAAGAATCTCTGATCTGCCTCAAACTATAATTTTGGCGAGATGTTTACTTTCTGATATTGTAGGCCTTTGTGGAGGATTGAATCTCTGTTTCTGCTTTGGAGGGTTGGGCTTATAGCTCCCATCAGTCTCAAGCGGTACTGGGTTGCTGGAGCTAATGGCATATGAAAGGCATATGGATATACACTTATGCCTGTTCTTGAAATAAGATGATAAGTGTATTGCATTAGAAGTAACAGATACCCAGGGTGCTCCCTGAATGGATTCTAGTTTTGGCCTCAGAGCTATATGGTTTCAAAGTTTATTATAAGGTGATTCAGATTTGCCACCAAAAAAGCAGAATTATATGGCTTGTATTAATTGTGCTATTTGAATACATTTGGCATTAGGAGTTCTAGACAATGTGAAATTCTGATTTTGCTTTTGTAGGCATGGACAAAGATTTATGTTTCTAATGATAAAATGTTCTCAAGTCATAAAAGCTGGTGATGTGTGACCTTTTGAAGTAAAAAAAAAATCTGTGTTTGTTAATATGTTTTGTAGTTTTCTCCTATGCTACTGTGACAAAGGTCAGCCCAAAGTCTTGGAGATGGTTGAACCAAACTTCCCTAATTGTTAATCATCCCTGACCATTGGCCAAGTGATTAAGTCTAATAGGAATCCCAAAACATTTAGAATGAATCATCTTAGTGAAGCCTGAAATATATAAAAAAGGAGGTCTTTGACCAGCTCTGGCAGATACACTGGTTGGATCAGGAGGTAATAAAGACAGTGCCTTATCTCTCAGCTAGACTTCTGTCATTTACTTTACATAGGGCTGCCCTGGAAAGTGATTCCAAAGTGCCTTCTTGCTGTCTAGTACTAGCCAGTTCAGCAGGATAACTCTTATTTAAGTTACCCCTGGTTGCTGTTGGCTTCTGGCCAAATTCAAAATGTTGATGATCACATATAAGCTCTGTATACCTGAACTCTTGCTACTTCTGGGCTCCTTTCCTCCAGGTAGAATCTGTGTGAAGCAGACAGCTTCAAGTGCTCACCCCACAGGAGATTGGGGGAGGGCGGGGGCAGGGATTGCTTGCTGGCAATCAAAACCATAGTGATTTCATGTTATGTTATGTTCATATTATGTACTATCTTATGGCTGTTTTTAGACCGTGCACTCTAAAGCATGTGGTGATAAGTCACATATAAGGATGTGGGTAATAAATAAATAAAGCAAGCCATATGGCTGACTGGCAAATGGGCTGGCTAGTTGCAATATTGATACAACCTGCCCCTATTTGTTCATGGAGTTATTTCAGTAGAGATTCATCTGTTTTTTTTTGGCACTGTGATCTTACTTTCCATAAAATAATTTGCCTGCTATTCTTTCCATTTAATTTAGTAAGTTGCACATTGGCATTCTGTTCCTATTCTTGCCATGCTCTTATGTGTGGGTGTGTGAATTATGTTGATCCAGTATGATTTTATGTCTGTCTGTCCGTCTGTCTGTCTGTCTGTCTGTCCTAGGTATATTTTTGAATGCAGAGCATGCAATGTCTCCTTGGTACTTTATAAAAGAAATTTTGATTTGCTGATGGGGATGGGGTTATCTTTCTCTAGATACTTCCTTGTCAGTAAATCCAACTGAACCTAATAAAACCTATTGAATAGTTAAATATGAAATTACATTGTAATGTTTCTCTATGTATGGAAGTCAACAGCTAAAAAAAAAAAAATAGAAACCTGGGACTTAAAATATGAACACTATTAATGGCAGTTGTTGAAGTAGTACTCCAAAAGAATTAAAAATAAATAATGGAAAGTTGCTGTAAAACTACTCCCTCCCCATCTCAAGGAGGCTGTTGTATCACTGCCCTGTGACTACATCTTTATTCTCAGTGGGGAGACAGATACTGTATCCAATTGGTTTATATCATTTAATTGCCCCATATTGAAAATGATGCAATTTCAGACAAGGCCATGTATTGCTTTATTGAACTCATCTTAGCTATCCTTTCTTCATTTGAATGATGCCTTGTGTTCCATCATAAGCATATATAAATGTAAAATTGTGCTAATGTGCTAAAACGTCAGAAGATTGTAGAAGGCAGTTATCTGCTATGAACCTGAATTCATGTATTGTCCCCCCAACACAAAGATTGTTCCCCTGCATTGTGTTTCTAGGATGCTCCCTGTAAGAGAATCAGAACTGAAGGGTCTTTGTGGATGATTGTTTTGTATGTGTATTGGTTGAATATAAATTGTATGGGTAGTTACAGTTGTACATTGTGATATTGTCTGAGTTCATACATGGCAATGAGATTATAATCAACCAGCATCTATTTTATTTATTGCAATGTCATTGGGAGTGGCTGTTCTTTATTTTGTTTAACATTGAATATGTTATTGTGGACACTTTACTATGATATTTCAGTTACATTGTTTACCATAGAAATTTTAATCACTGTTCTTATGTAAACTGATGTGAGAATGGACATCGTATTTGTACGCTGATAGCTAGATTCAGCAGCATACAAATCTGATAAATTCCTTATTGCAGAATCAGTAGCAGAGCTGAGCAGCGAACCATCCTACAGGCTGCAAAAGATGGGAAAAATCTATAGCTGCTAAGTATTTAAGAAGCAAAGTGAAACTAGTGTAGCAGTTAATGAGAATTATTATCTGAACAGATCCCAGCTCCCTAGAATTTAAACCAGAGCATTGACCTATATGTTGGTTCTGCTTGCTGTATATATATTCTGTCAGCACGAGAAGAAACTGATTCCAGTATAAAGAGTTGAGAGAACGGAGAAGCCAGATTTATTGTTGTACCAAGTTGAAGTGTAACAATATACTTGTATAATAATCTCTAATTTTTGGCCATGGTTGTAGTGATGGGAGAATAGTCCAAATAATCTGGACAGCACTGCTAGTACCTTCCCTTTTAATAAAATGATATGCTGCACATGGGAATAATTTCCATTCGCTGATCTTAATTCCGTTATAGCGCAAGCTTCTCCATTCATAATCTCTCTCTTTTTTTTCCTACGTGGGGTCGTTCTTGATGGCTCTGAATGAAAAGGGGAAGTAATTTCAGGTTTTGAGGTTATGCTGATAGGGGAAGAAGTGGGTTTTTTTTAATCTCAAAGGATTTTCTCCACTCTCAACCTATGGCAAATAAAAACAATTAAAATCAATCTGATTGGTTTAAATCTTTTGAAAAAGTCGGCATTGGGAAAACGCCACTGCATCAATCAGGCTTTGCTCAAATAGAAGGATGGAAAGAGATAGGAGAGAGAGATGTATGCAAAACCATCTATGTATTTTTAAAGGAATTTTGATGTGCATTCTCTCTCGTATGTTCCCTTTGTCAGTATTAACTTCATATATCAAATTCACATTGTAAATCTCTCTAGAGAGTATATTCAAGAGGTTTTCTCTGTAGACTTGGGGACCGTGCTATTTTGAGAATGTTGTATCAAGAATCTTCATTTCTTCTACACAACTTGCTACCTTAGGTTTAATTTCATCCAAGGAGCAGATGATGTAAAACTTTGAATTTCCTATGTAAAACTATATGTATTGGATAAGCTCTTTCTTTTTGAAAATAGACAGTTTAGAACACTTATTTCACTCAGATGCTATTTAGTATGAAATAGTCCTAATATTTCTTTGTTTTCCTTTCCATTTTGCTATTTAATTTCTCTTTCTTGAGAAATGTTACTATGTTCTCCTTTTCTTCTTCCTCTCCCCAACACTTCTTGAGCAATGCTTCAGGCTAATACCTTACTATAAAAGTGACTCACCCAGCCCCAATTGATTTTTGATTTACAATATTTGATCAACAAAGACCTAGTTGCAACTTTTTGTTCCTGAAGGGTAATTCATTCTGGTGAATTGACCATGTCACTCGGAGGGATTTTCACCTGTCAAGAGTTCATCAGTTTTATTTTAATCATGAGATACGGACGTTCCTAAGAGCGTTACTGTTATTACCTGCTTTTGTAACTAGAAATAGGACTGCAAAGTTCAACTAAAATCTCAAAAAATGAAATTTTTAAATCTTTTTGGTGGTTCACATGTATTTGGACGATCAGTTGGTGACTTTTGTTCAGAACTATCCATTTTTCCCTTCTGTCTTTTCAGCAGTGCCAAAGCTAGAAAATAGAGCAAAATACATCCTTAGCATCCTCATTTGAAGCCAGCTCTTATCTTGATATATGTTTGGATATACTCTAAATATTTTCTTTCCCATCACAATATATATAGTAACTGAATTGCCTTGAATTTCAGATAATTCATCCAAGTCCATAGTACTGAAGCCCACTGTCTCATCTTAAAGCAGGGATGGGGGAATATTTGAGGTTTTGAGAATTGTACCTTTTCCTCAGAGTCCAATAGGAAATTGGTGATGTCATGATGCAACCAACATAGGTGAGGCTACTTTTATTTCAGGGATGTTAAGAATGCAGTTGTGGTTGTAAGTTGAGGACTACCAGTACAGACTGGTTTTCCGCAGGTTTCAACTCCAAGCAACAGTGGGATTAGCCATCTTGGCTAATCCCACTGCAATCATACAATTGCAGCAGAAACTTTTAAAGGACGCCACATTTGTGAACCTCATTTTCTAATCACTTTTGGAAAGTGATCATTAACTATTTTTAAGCTATTGGAGGTCTTTGGAATAACAAGTTTGAAATTGCCAGATGAATCTGCCCTTTAATTCTGAACTGAGAAGAAGGAAGACTTACCTACTATTGAAGAATGGACATTAAAAGTAGTGAATTTAGCAGAGTGGCAAAAATTTCAGCATACTTGAAGGACCATTCAAATGAAAGATATATATTGGAATGGAGAAGATGGATTGACTATATTCAAAACAAATATCGGACTAAAAAGTTTCAAATAGCTTATGAATGAAACCAACATTTTCTTTTTGACTTATGTTTTGTTAGTTGAAAGGGGAGTTAAAGAGCAAGA